TTCAAGGCCTCGAAAGCGCGGAACAAGGAAGAACTACGGTGATGACCCTTCGAGTCGTCACAATATTACGTAATTTATTTTTTTTGCACCAAATAAACAGATCTTACCCTAAGCTTCTGAGATAATGTTCTGTTGTTCTCTAATTCTTTGTTGAATTTGGACCCAAGAAATGTGAAAGTACCCTTCGCCTTCAATAACTTCTCGTTGGTCCAATGTTCTAGCAGTGTCCGCATATACTCTAAAAGGTCAAATATCGGTAGCTCTCTTGCATCTTTTGTTACAGTGTTCAACGACTCTGCAATATTTGATGTCATTGTCCACGTTCTATCCACTGTTGCATGTACTCGTGACCATCTATGATAGCCAATATCATATAGGTAAGATTTCATACGCGAGTCTACCTCTTCAATCTTCGACATCCTTTCATTAAATTCATCCAGAGTGTATGACCGTACTGTAGCAAAGTACAATTCATGTAATTGTAGATGACCCTTCTTGAATTTTGACCTTATATTTGTCCAAATATGCCACATGCAAGAGTAGTGTGGCATGCCCGGATAGACAATTGATGTTGCCTTTAGTATACTCTCATTCCTATTTTAAACGACACACATTGAAAGTTTTTCACCATATGCCTGCTTGAATTGCTCAAAGAACCACTTCCAAGATGCGTCGTTTTCAGAAACCACAGTATATGCCAAGGGCAATATTGTACCTACATTATTAATTCATAAAATATTAATTGGCAGCTTTGAAAATGTATATAAAAAAATAAATACATAACAACTACAATATATCTTCATAATATAGACGATTTATCTACATTTCATGTAATAGCTACAAAATAACTACAAAATTACTACAATGTATCTACATTTTATAGACTGCCTACAAAATAACTACAAAATTTTTACACTTTTTACCTGCTGCACCCATGGTGCTTGCTGTCAGCATAATCCCCAGTAGGCTGACTTTAAGAATGTCCCATCAACCACTACTACTGGCCTACAATATTTCCAACCACTTGTTGATGTACAAAGAGCAACAAATGCGTATAAGAAACATTCATTTACTGTCTTCTTCAATTTAACAATCGAACCAGGATAAGTCTCCTCAAGAATATAAAAATATTTGGGTAATTTGCTATAGGAGTCAGCCGGATTCCCTCTCAAAAACTGTAAAGCCTTTTCCTTTGCTCTCCATGCTTGCATGTAGCTTAGGTTCACTTCGTGTTCGGATAACATGTCAGTTTGTATGTCCTTTAGTGTGTAAACAGTCTTAGGATCATAATACTTTGGAATGACCATGCTACCAACTACAACTGCAGTACGTTTGCGCTGTATGAATGTTTCGTCCATTAAGGAGCATGTGTGTTGTCGGTTGAAACTCCTTATCTTGAACATTGCAGAATCATTAATTGACGTTGCCTTGAAGTGCCATTTACAGTTTTCACCAATGCATACAAGCCCGTAGCTACAAAAAAATACAATATTTAATACAGATTATAAATGTATATGCAACAAAAGGACTGTTTTAACATAGAGTAACATAAACTACAATTTAACTACAATGTAACTACAATGTTTAAAAAACACATATCTTGAGTAAAACACTGCTTTTAATGATATTTTCTCCACAAATATCTCCATACCTTCTATGACTAGATCTTTTAACTCTGAACTGGAACTTGTGCATCACAGAAAAGTGCTTCATTGCAGCAACTACAGTTTGCTTGTCCTGATACACTTGTCCTTCTTCAATAGCAGTTTGCATAGATTTTGTTATTATTTCACTTTTATATTCCTCTATAGCTGGAGAGGATGGAATATCAAGTAACTTTAGGGATCCAGACGAACCTGCATCAAAATAAAGATAAACAGTGTCATTATAATTTTGTAGAATCTTTGTAGATATAGCGAAAATTTTGTAGTCATCCATTTTAGGATGTCAGACATTGTAGTTAAATTGTACTATAACTATTGCAATTTGTAGAAATTTGTGAAAACAATACTGCTTCATACATAATTTAACTGATTTGTATTTTATTTGACTAGATTTTGTTCTAAACATAGATTGTAGTTTTATTTGAAGACAACATTTTGAAATCAACAGTTTCTAATCATAGATTGTAGTTTATTTTGTCGTATAAATGTAGTAACTTTGTAGATAATTTTGAAAACAACATTGCTTTATTCTTTCATTAAACTGATTTGTAGTTTAATTGTAGGTAAATGTAGTAATTTCGTAGATAATACCGTAAAACCATAATTCTATGCAATTTCGAACTATACAAACCTGCACTTGTGTTATCATTGGTGATTGCCAATTTCTTATTGAAATCTCATACACTTATACATAACGGATATGAACCTAAGTTTTTATTCTCCTTTTTGGTTTCCATATACACACGAACCCCCATATCATTCCTAATCTCCATTAGAGGACAATTGTCGTTCACCATGTATTTGATTTCTACAATTTTTTCTGAAGTATCAATCGATAGTTATTCTGCAATTGTAGAAATCAGAATACTGTAGCTTGCATTCTCATCTACCACAATGGCATCAACTTCAAAATCTCTAAATCTCCCATAGTTATCCCAATTCCCATTCAATTGTTGCATGATTGCGATTTTAGACATGATTGCGTATTGTTGCTGATGTATTATTCTAAATTTTTCCGGTTTTTTTGGATTTCTAGATTAAGAGAAAAAAAGATGAAGAACAGATATATGATCGCCAATTTGATTTTTGAAAACGACGAAGAACAAAATATAGCAATGTTGAGTTGTTGAATCTCGAAGATTTGAATTCTACAATTTGAATTCAGTTTGTTGAAGCTGTTCGTAGTTTGTTGAAGCTGTTCGTACTTTTTTTAAAATTTTTTGAATTGTAGTTTAAAATAAATTACGCAGATGCGAAATCTCCTTTCCATTTCAAAACTTGAATTTAATGTAGAATCAATCAATCCCAAGATTCTTTCCTGATTTTTCGCGCGTTATTAAGGGAAGATTCTGCCCTATTAATTCCTAATAAACGAATGGTACAGAAATTGTAGAAAAAATGTGGAATAGGTGGGTAATTTAGATACTATGCACATATTTGGTAATAAAATTTCATATATGGTATAGGAAGGAAAAAATCCCTTTAAAGTTTACAATATGAATTCTCAAGCTTAGCGTTAGCTAGGTCATCTATTTTGTTGACTAAATAAGATTAATATGTAAAAATTGCACGGGGCATCCTATTTGGTCGCCCCCATTTAACCTATACCCATTTGTTTAAAAACTTTTAACTTGTACCCACTTTTTAAATAACTTTAACCCCCTTTCTCCTCCTCCTTCGTTTTCTTCTTCAAGTTACAAAATAAACTGGTATTTATCTCCAGAAGCAATGTTGCTTTAGTTATAAGGTCAATTTTTTTTAGTTGAACAGTTCGACAGTTGTACTTCTACTCCAAATTTATAGCAAATTAGTCTTAGGAAAAAGTTTAAGTTACCAGTAGGATGAGCTGTAAAATTTTGGAGTTTTTGTATGTTTATTCGTGTTTGAGATGAGAAGATGTACACTATTTTTCTTAAAAAATCACTGCTAATTGTGGTGATTCAGCTCTAGAGCTGAAGTTCGCCAGTTACAAAACAAAAACTTCAGCTCTAGAACTGATGTTCACCAGTTACAAACAAAAACTTCAGCTCTAGAGCTGAAGTTCGCCAGTTACAAAAACAAAACTTCAGCTCTAGAGCTAAAGTTCGCCAGTTATAAAACAAAAACTTCAGCTCTAGAACTGAATTTCACCAGTTACAAACAAAAACTTCAGCTCTAGAGCTGAAGTTCGCCAGTTAAAAAACAAAAACTTCAGCTCTAGAGCTGAAATTCGCCAGTTACAAAAACAAAAACTTCAGCTCTAGAGCTGAACTTCAGGCTCGGCTACTAGAATGCTGAAGTTTTGCGTGATTGCCTTTGCTACTTCAGCCCCGTATGCTGAAGTTATGCGAAAAAGTGGGTATGTTTGCAATTTTTTTTGCAAAGCGGGCACAAGTTAAAACGTGATACAAAAAGCGGGTATAGATGCAAATGCCTCGATTAATTTTCATCATTTTCAAGAGCTTATATTTTTTAAATTTTATTTTATAACTCAAACGCATTGTTTAATACTCCCTCCATTTCAATTTATGTGAACCTATTTCCTTTTCAGCCCGTGCTAAAAACGATGATCTCTTTCCATACTTTGAAAATAATTTAACTTTATGTAATGATTTATCGTCACATAAAATATATGTGCCTCATTTTATACCACAAATTCAAAAGACAAATATTAAAACTGAGGGAGTAGTATTTATGTACCCCATTGAATCGCGTGTATCCTAATTAAAAAATTACAGGCACCACGACAAGAAGAATATAGAATACTATGCAGAGAAAGTTCCATATGACATGGTAGTAATAAACGAAGATGGTGAGGTGGATATGATCAAAGGAAGGTCTCAGAGAAAGATCAAAGCTGCAGATGAAACTCCAGGAAAATCCCCTGCTTCAACTGTACCAGCCACAAAACCGATGTTTTCTTGACAAATAATAAAAATTTTCAAGCCCAAGTGCGTGAAACCCTAAAATTGGCAGCAAGCTACAAGGAGGAGGAATCGAGGAATACCATATATTGCTGCCCTGTAATAATGTACTACTCCTACTATCATTTATAAGAATAAGATAAATAAAAAGTTGTGATGACCTTAAAAATAAATTTTGTATTCCGAGGCCTTAAAAATCTCTTTCTGCATCATCTCGATTTGCATACGTAGTTCGGACACGTAGCCGGAAAGCCAATATGTGAAAAATCTGTGAAAAATGATGAATTTTGCCTTTAAAATGAATTTAAATTGACTTCGATCAATATTTTGGGTAAACGGACCCGGACCCGTGATTTGATGGTCCTGGAGGGTCCGTGGAAAAATACGAGACTTGGGCGTATGCCCGGAATCGAATTCTGAGGTTCCAAACCCGAGAAATGAATTTTTAAAGAAAATTGTTTTCTGGAATATTTATGAGTTTTTGAAAATGAAATTGTTTAAAACTTGATGGTATCGGGCCCGTATTTTGTTTTCGGAGCCGGGTATAGGTCTTATATGTGATTTTAGATGAGTTTGTGAAATTTGGTAAGAAACGGACTTGAAATGACGTGAATCGGGCCGTATTTGAGAAAAATTGGAAAATTTAAAGTTCTTAAGAAATTTCATGATTTTGATGCTAAATTCATAGTTGTTGATGTTATTTTGGTGATTTGAATGCACGAACAAGTCCGTATGATGTTTTTAGGTTGGTGTGCATGTTTGTCTTGGAGCCTCGAGTGCTCGGGTGAGTTTTGGATAGGCCACGGGTGGAATTTGGACTTGGAAAAATTGCAGGTTTCAACTGTTCTATTGTAGGCCTACAAGCTTCGCATTTGCGAAGCCTGTCTCGAAAATGCGAGGGCTGAGTCGCAAATGTGAAACAGCCCAGGCCAACCCTTCCTTGCAAATGCGATGCTCCCCATTTAGGCTTGTCTTCGCAAATGTGACAGGATGTTCGCAAATTCGACTTCACAAATGTGAAAGTTGCTTCGCAAATGCGAGCTTAGAAGAGTCTAGATTCACAATTGCGAACCCTGGTCGCAATTGCGATACCTGCAACCTGTAAATTCATAATTTAGACACATTTCAACTATTTTTAATACTCTTTCAAAACTAAAACACTCTAGGGCGAATTTTCAAAGACAACTTCTTCTCCAAATCGATTGTAAGTGATTTCTAACTAGTTTTCTTCAATCCTTAACATTTTTTCACATGATTTCAACTCAAAATTAATAGTTTTCATGGGGGAAATTGGGTGTTTTGGGTAGAACCTAGGTTTTTCAAATTTTGGGGATTTGGACCTCGATTTGAGGTCCGATTTCAAAACAAATTATATATTTGCATTCGTAGGGGAATGGGTAATCAGGTTTTGGTTCGAACCTCGGATTTTGACCATGTGGTCCCAGGGGCGATTTTGGACTTTTTGGGTAAAACTTTGGAAAACTCATTTTCATGCATTAGAATTGATTCATTTAGCATTTATTGACGTAGTTAAGTAACTTGTGGCTAGATACGAGCGAATTGGTGGTGGAATCAAGAGGTAAAGCAATAGTTGAGACTTAAATTGTGTTTGTGGCATTGAGATAAGTGTTTGATCTAACCTTAGCTTGAGAGATTAGGAGTCGAGTCGTATTTGCTATGTGGTATTTGTTGAGAACGACGTATATGCATGGTGACGAGTATCTATACGTTGGTGTCAAGCATGCCCGTGAGTCTTAAATTATGATTATTCTGACTTCGTTGTATTATTCGTGCCTTGGTGATGATTTCTATTGTTGTGCAAAGTTTGTGGAAGTAATAGTGATATTGAACATTGAGAAGCATTGGCTCGGGTTGTATAGTGAAAGGTAAAAGCATAAGTGGTAGTTGAATCCTTTTAGAGCATTGGCTAAAGTTGGGAAGTGAGTTATGAAGTAAAAGTGAAAAAGAGAAGAGAATCTTATTGTTGCCTCCCTTGCCGGGATGTTGATGTTTTGATGTTGTTCCCTTGCCGGGACTTGATTGTTGAACCATTGTTCCCATGCCGGGATTCTTATTGTAATTTCATTTATTTCCTTGCCCTATTGTTTGTGATTGTTGTTTGGGTAAGGAAGAGCGTTAAAGCACGAAGGGTGATGCCGTGTATTGTTTTGGTGAGAGAGTGATAAAGCACGAAGGGTGATGCCGTGTATGATTTTGTGAGGAAGAGTGTAAAGCACGAAGGGTGATGCCGTGCCGCACGATGTACAATTCTGTGCTGATTATATTGATTATATGGTGAGGACGAGAGTAAATGCACGAATGGTGATGCCGTGCAATTTATATTGATTCTTTTAGTGAGGACGAGAGTAAAAGCACGAAGGGTGATGCCGTGCACTTGTTTGATTCCTAATTTTTGCTAATATTTGAAATTTGGTATTTCTTGTATTTACTCTCTGTCTTTCTGTTCTTAATTGATGTTTCCCTGCATCATGTTTCCCCTTCCCATACTTGACTGTATATTACTGTTCTTCTTTTCCACTGTATATGGTTTAACTGCACAGGTTTATTTGGTAGTCTGGTCCTAGCCTCGTCACTACTTCGCCGAGGTTAGGCTAGACACTTACTAGCACATGGGGTCGGTTGTGCTGATACTACACTCTGCACTATGTGTAGATCCCAGAGCAACAACTTTTGGACCTTAGCTTGGGTGGCTGCCTTCAGTCCATATGGAGATCCAAGGTAATCCTACAGGCGTCCGCAAGCCCTGGCATCTCCCTCTACCCTTTTATCCTGTTTCCTTTACTTATTTCAGAAATAGTGTATCATTTATCTTTTAGACTTTGTACGTAGTATTCTTAGACCGCCTATGAAGCTGTGACTCCAATTCTAGGTAGTTTTGTTTGAACAGTTGTATTGGTTAAACTCAATAGCTTTATTATTTTTCTTCCGCTTGTTATAAATTCCACTGTCTTAAGTTATTGCTCATAATGGTTAAAGGATTAAAAATGGAAAATAAAGTAAATTGTCAAATAGTCGGCTTGCTTAGCTCCCATTAGTAGGCGCCATCACGACTA